CTATACAAGAGACCGTCAAAAAGATGGAGATTTAAATATCAGTATAAATAGAAAACGAAAATAGCCATAAAAATTCAATTAATTGCCTAGTTTAAAAAATTGTAGGCAAATTTACTTCGAAAAATTATTAAATTTTAATAATGAAATTAAAAGAAAATTTTAAAATTATAATTGACAATTATTTAATTTTGAATAGAGCTATAAAGAAGAAAATTATTAATAGGAAAACTATATTGATAATTTTAATAATAGGAAAATTAAATTTTGAATATGAATATAATATTATAATTGATACTCATTAAATTAAATAGAGCTATACTAAATATAAATTATTAAAATTATGAAATAATTATTATAATTTATAAAATTTTGACAAAATTATATTAAAAATTTAATCATTATTTTATAAAATAATTTGATATGAAAAATGTTCAATAATGATAAATGAAGTAATTTTATGGATTTATATTAATTAGATGTAATTTAATTTATAAATTGTTTATATTAATTATGACGGTTTAAATATAATAAAAAAGTTTCAAATATCAATAAATTTTAAGAAATATTTATTATAATTTACCAACGCTTAAGATGAAGTAACTATTTTCTCTTCTTCAGAAACCTTACAGGGGAGACAGCAAAAATGTCGAAGCGAACGCGGAGGATTGGCGCGTAACAAGTTCAGGATGTCTCTGGGTCTTCCAGTGGCTGCGACGGTGAATTACGCCGACAATACCGGGGTAAAGAACCACTACATTATTTCAGTGAAGGGAATCAAGGGTAGACTCAACCGTCTCCCTTCTGCTACCGTCGGTGACATGGTTATGGCCACCGTCAAGAAGGGTAAGCCCGATCTCAGAAAGAAGGTCATGCCCGCAGTCATTGTCCGCCAGCGCAAGCCATGGCGCCGAAAGGACGGTGTCTACATGTACTTTGAAGATAATGCTGAAGTGATTGTTAATCCCAAGGGAGAAATGAAAGGTTCTGCAATCAGTGGTCCAATTGGAAAGGAGTGTGATGATCTTTTGCCTAGGATTGCAAGTGCTGCCATTGCGATTGTTTAATGCACCGCATCTTAATTTGAAGCGAACTTTAGTTTACTGAATGTTTGTTTTAGGTATCTGGTACTATCCTTTTTGTGGACGTGGTAATTTTAATAGACGGTTGGTATGTAAGAGCTAAGAATTACATCTTTTGTTTGGATAAACTAAATACTTTGCTGTTTGTTTAAAAAAAAAAGATGAAGCAACTATTAATTATTTAAAAAATAAAATATAGTTTGAAATAAAATAAAATTTTTGTTTTTAGATTTGATCGGCGAAGGTCAACATGATAAATATTAATAAAGTAGCAACGATGAAGGTGAAATCATTGTTTGAAAATATTAATACAAGTCATAACAAAATACTATAAGTCATAACAAAAGGAAAAAAAAAAACAAGTCATAACAAAAAGAAAAAAAAACAAGTCATAACAAAAGGGAAAAAATTTTAAAAAATACAAGTCTAATAATACTACATAAAATGTCTAGTACCCTACTTCTTCTTGGACTTTTTAGCCCGAAAAAGGCTATAAGTCAATCTATTGGGCTCCTTTGTCACTCTCTGGCCTTTACTCACAGCCAACGGTGGGGTCTCTAGAGTTTGACTCGATCCCTGCTCCTCATGACGCTGATAACCCTGACCCTCAAATTGATCCTCCTGGTCTGCATCTTCATCCTCATCCTCATCCTCATCTTCACCCTGACTCTCATGCTCACCTCCAGCTGGGTCATCAGCTTGATGCTGACCCGCAACACCCTCGAACATACTCGAAAGAAAGTTACTCGTGTAATATAACGACTGGCCATCTAGAGAACTTTGCTATAACCCAGAAAAGTCAATAAAAGAATCTCTAAACTGAGGCTGGGAAGTCTGAGGGGATGAAAGCTGAGTGAAGGCAAAATGGGACTGCTGGTCCTAGGGAGACATAATGCGACGGTAAAATGCCTGTTGGGTCGGGGAAGAATGATGTGGAGACTGATGTGGAGACTGAGGGGATAAATGATGGGGAGAATGATGTGGAGACTGATGGGATGAATGCTGTGGAGACTGATGTGGAGGCTGATGGGATGAAAACTGAGTGAAGGGGATATGAGACCTCAACCTGCCTCTCGAGACCGTGACATACAACATTGTGGCATTGACGGACAACGCCCGCTCAACAACCTGGGCAATCTCGCCTAAGCAATCACAACCAAAGGAATCCTTGTCGGAAGTACGCTGGCCTATAATACTAAGACTACGAACGTGCTCCATCAAAGTGGCCTAAAATTTTTGTTAGAAAGAATCGTAAATCGATAACAATGAAAATAAATTACATAATGGACTGTAGGCGAAAGAAATTGTACGAAGACTCACCATGAGGCGCAAGATCTCTGCAGAGCCGTGAAAACCCCTCGTGTTTTCAGAGTCCGTCGGATCCGTAACATACTTTACAGTAACTTGATGGTACTACAAGAGCCACTCTGAATCGGCTGTAGCCTCGCCAACATAATCATCATCAGTCCCGACAAGTCTGTTATGGTGATCATTCCAAACCTGGAGATATATGCCTAGTTGTTGTATCCATCTTCTATCGGATCCTCCAAACGGCTTCCTCTTAAGCAGGCTAGTAATTTCCTCTTTGGTCAGAAGCAATGCGTCGCCGGGTATCCGGTGGGGATAACTAAATTGGCGAAATACCCTACTGGGGTTGTGTGGCGCAACGACCTCACCGCAGGTTCAATTGTATAAGTAGTATTCTAGTATACTTTCAGACGAATTGTCTCCGTGAAAGACATTTACGGCCTGCAAAATCAATTCCTACAAAATCAGAATACTAGAATACATTTTGATAATTTCAAAACAACAACTATACCCCTGAATTTAAAAATATTTTAAAAACTCAATCTGGGTATTATAAACTTTTGCATAAACCAATATACAATAAATTTCAAGAATCATCTAATTTAACAACAGTACACATAATTAAGGCATTGGTATTTTACAAATTTTGGAATCAAAGAATTTAAATTAATGTTAAATCTAAACCTTGTGCCCGAATTACATAATTTATTCTTATGCTAAAAATATTCAAAAATTCAACATCATTATTATAATTTTTTTTTATTTTACATAAATCGATATACAATAATTTACAAAGCTCATCTAATTTAACATTCTATTAACTAATATTTCTTTCAATTCACTTTATCAGCCTAATTAAAAATCCATCGTTAATTGAGTAAATCACAATTATTTATTAACTAATAATAATGCGTAAATCATCCTATGCTCACAATAAGGCATAAAAAAAATACATGTTTTCTATAATAAAAAAAACTTACCTGAATGTTGAAACTTTGGGTTTTAAATAGGTTTTAGGAATCAAATCAATCTTCTTTAACTTTAGAGCAACTTCTTCATTGAAGGAAATGAGAGCTTTTCCGGATTCAGCCAAGTCCTCCGGAGTGAAACTCAAAATCGGAGCTCAACATAATGAAAGAAGTTTGGGAAGAAATGCTGTTATTTTGCTTGGTTAGGTATTTAAATCTTAAATTTCGCGGGTACAAAACGCGAATACATTCAAGACTTATCATCAAAATATACGTGGAGCCGAATGAGTAGTTGAGGAGATTTTCTGGATATTTTCATGCTAAAATCAATTTTTCGCGTTTTCAAAACGCTAATTTTTTTTTCGCGTTTTCAAAACGCTAAATTGTCACAATATTCGCTTTATTTTCAAAACGCCAAATTGTCTAAAATTAAAAAAAATATTATTTAAAATTTATAGCTTTTCGCGTTTTTGAAACGCGAAAGTTCTGTTCGCGTTTCTGAAACGCGAGATGCAATATTCGCGTTTTCGAAACGCTATTTTTTGTTTCCCTCTTTTAATCCCATTTTTTGCTTTCTTTTTTCCCAGATCAATTTGTGGAAAAAATAATTAAAAAGATTCGAGTTTCACAAACGCGAATTTTTAATTTAATTTTTTTGTTTCGTGTTTTGAAAGCGCGAGAACATTAGAAATGTCCAATTTTTAAACCATACACATTTTTTTGTCCACGAATTTGGGTCTGAGCCACCCTAAAGTCAAGCACCCTACCTTCTGATGGCTGCCAAAGTGGAAGACTGAGAGATGAGATGGAGGGCAACGAAAAAGAGAAGCAAGCAAAAAGGCAGCTCAATTGGGAAGAAAGCAAGGCGAGTGCATCAGGGTTAAAGGGTTGGGCTGGGTTTGATGCAAAAAAACTTAGAGCACCTTCGGGACAGTTGAAGCTCACTCCACCTTGTCAGCGAGATGGGCAGGCTGTGGTCAAATTGTTGAAGGAGGATGTGCATGCTGAGGAGCTCTACTGGGAGAATGTTGTGAGTTGCTTTGTCCAAGGTGCAAACACTCCCAAGTGGGTGATGGAAGATTACTTCAAAAGAACGTCTGGCATTGAAAATTTAATTCAACTGCCTACTGGTTTATTTCTTGTCAGGTTTAAGAATAAGGGTGCTAGGGATGAAGTACTTAGTATCAATATGCGTCACTTTGGAAGCGAACAGTTAATTGTAAAGCCTTGGAATGTGGATAAGGGGATTAGTAGTAGAGAGATAGAGAAAGTACCTGTCAGGATTCAGTTACATTGACTTGAATTAAAATACTGGAATCTTAATTCTCTGGGACGCTTGGCTAGTGCTTTAGGGACTCCTAAACTAGCAGATGTTTATACAGTAGCTAGAAGCAGGGTTCAGTATGCTTGACTACTAGTGGAAATGGAGAATAGAGAGAATGTGCCCGATAAAATTATTTTTGAGGATGAACTTTGTCACATTCAAGTTCTGAAGGTGACATATGAATGGTTACCCACTCAATGCTCTAAGTGTCAGGGATATTGCCACAGGACAGAAAGGTGTAGGGTGGCAAATAAGAAGGAAAGTGTTAAAGTGCAGACACCAAGCTCTGAGTGGAGGAGAGTAGTAAAGGGTACGGAGGTTATGGTGAGTACTGGGGATGCAAAGAAACAAGAGGTAAAGGAAGGTGTTATAGGATGCTCAGGGGTTGGAGCAGGTGAGAAACAGCCCGATAAAGGGTGTAATGATAGAGTGGATCTAAGTGTGTAAAATAGCAGAGGTAACTCTAGTGTCATAGGTACTCATGGTGCTATTGCTAGGAGTTCTCAAACTGAGGATCCTAAAACAACAGCTATTGAAATCGACACTGGTGGTAGCTCTCACATTTAGTAATGGGAAGGAGAAAGGAATTTTGCTTGATCCTGGTCCTGTTTCTGATGTGTAGAATCGTTGTGTGGAACATAAAGGGTTTGAACTCTTCCCTGAAACAAAGAGAGGTGCAGCAGGTGGTGAAGCAGGGACAGTACAATATAGTAGGATTGGTGGAAACTAAGTTGACTAAGCAAAGAGGGGAAAATTACTTGCGGCAGTTTTGGCAAGGGTACAAATGGGTAACAAATATAGTTCCAATGATAGCGGAAGGATTTTAGTAGTTTGGGATGACAGTGTGATGGTGTCAAAGTTAAGTGAAAGTGACCAATATATTCATTGCACTTGTATGCTCAAGAAGGATGGAACCAATTTTCATTTTACGTGTGTTTATGCGGCTAATGAGGCTGGGTAAAGGAGTAAATTGTGGGAGGATATGGCTGGATTAGCTCAGCAGGTTCAAGGACCATGGGTTTGGATGGGTGACTTCAACAACATCTTGCATCCGGAGGAAAAGTTGGGAGGAAAACCAGTTGAACTAAAAGATTTTGTGGAGTTCCAGAATTGTTTAGACACTTGTGGGATGAAGGACCTTCGACACAGAAGGAAATTCTTCACGTGGTGTAACCAGAGATTGGGCACAGGGAGAATCTACTCTAGAATTCATAGAGCAGTTGGTAATGGGGATTGGATTGATACTTATAATGATTCAGTGGCACATGTATTGATGGAAACTGTTTCTGATCACTCCCCATTGGTGGTGCAATTAGAGGAAGAGATTCAGCGTAAACCTAGCCCTTTTAGGTACTTTAACATGTGGAGCCGATCTCCACAGTTTAAAGATACTGTTAGAAGGATTTGGGAGACAGAAATATGTGGAATTAAATGTTTCAACTTTGTATGCAACTGAGAATGTTGAAGATCCCACTGAGAATGTTCAATAGGCACAAGTTTAATGATGTTGTCGAAAGGACGCAAAGGCAATTGTTAGAGTTGGAAGCTATACAAGGAAGGTTGAGTAGAAACCCTGGGAATGTTGAATTGCAAACAGAAGAAAGGACAGTATATAGTGATTATCTCAGAAAAAGAAAGGCTGTCAATAGCTTTCTTCAGCAAAAAGCCAAGGAAGCCTGGATTGATGAGGGCGATGCGAACAGAAGGTATTTTGATTCTGTTATGAAAATACGGCAATTGAGAAATAGAATTTGGTCAGTTACTGAAGAGGCTGGGGTGGAGTATACGGAATGGGAGAATAGTAAAAGGCATTTCTTAGGGTTCTATCAGAAGTTGTTTGGACAATCATCAGAAAGGAAGAAGGCCAATCCTGACATATTCAAAAGTGGACCAGTCTTGAGTAGTGACCAGCAGCTGAAGCTCATCAAGCCTGTTAGCAGAGAAGAAGTTAAGGAAGCAATATGCGAGATGAACTCGAATAAGAGTCCAGGTCCCGATGGTTTTGGTGCTGGATTTTACAAAGCTGCTTGGGAGGTGGTGGGGAAGGATGTCATTGATGCTGTGCTTGAGTTTTTCGACACCGGTAAGGTACACAAACAACTAGACTCTACAACACTTGCATTAATTCCAAAAATAGAATCCCCACATCATGCCAATCATTTTAGGCCTCTTGCATGTTGTAATGTTTTATACAAATGCATTTCAAAGATTCTGTGTAATAGATTAAAGGAAGTATTGCCTCATTTAATAGATGAAAATCAGAATGCTTTTGTTAAGCATAGATTAATCATACATAATGTACTTATTACGCAAGAACTCATTAGATTGTATGGTAGGAAAGGAATCAATGGTAGATTGTTGATGAAAATTGACTTAAAAAAGGTATATGATTCAGTAGAGTGGGGATTTTTTGAGGAAATGATGCTAGGGTATGGATTTTTGGAGCATTTTAGGCAATGGATCAGGGCATGCATTTCTACCACGTCTTTCTCCTTGGCACTTAATGACTGTTCTGTTGGTTACTTTAATGGGAAAAGGCGTTTACGTCAAGGAGACCCCATTTATCCATTGTTATTTGTACTAGTTATGGAATATTTAACTAGGAGCCTTAAGAATGTTGCTAAGGAGGGTTTCCAGTTTCATCCTTCATGCAAACAGTTGAAACTTACGAATATCTGTTTTGCAGATGATCTGATGATCTTCTTTAAAGTAGATATTCCAACTCTTAAGCTTATTATGGCCGTATTTCATGACGTCTCAGAAACTACGGGACTTGTTGCTAATACCCAGAAATCTGAGATATTCTTTCGGGGTGTTGGGATTAGGGAACAAGATGAGTTTTGTAGGCTTACTTGTTTCACTTGTGGGCAGTTTCTTATGAAATATTTGGGGCTTACACTGTCCTCGAAAAAGTGGAACCAGGTACAATGCCAATGCATAGTAAAAAAAATTGTAGCTCGGATTAGGTGTTGGAGCTCCCGGCATCTTTCGTATGCAGGGAGGCTAGTCCTTGTGAATTCTGTCTTGATGACTATATAGACATATTGGGGTAGTATGTTTATATTCCCTCAGAAAGTAACGGAAATGGTAAACAGAGTATGTAGGGAGTTCCTTGGGGGAAGAAGTATGATAGCAGAACCCTCTCTCTGGTCCACTGGATGGAAGTATGTAAGAGTAAAGCTAGGGGTGGGCTTCGTGTTAAAGATGCAAAACTCTGGAACAAAGCCTCTGTCTTCAAACAGGTTTGGCAACTAATGGTGAATAAAGAAAACCTTTGGGTAAAATGGATACATGGTGTGTATATCGAGCGCTCCTCATTTGTGGATCTTTCATTGAAAGCCGATGCTTGCTGGCAATGGAAACAGTTGCTCAAACTGAGGGACCTGTTTAGAGAAGGTTTTGATGGCCTGAGGTGGAAAGGAAAGCAGAATGGAGTAGCTTCTTTTTACTAGTGGTTGATTGGAGAGGGAGCCAAGGATGAGAATGCCAGATGTATATGGGCTAGCTCCAACATCCCTAACCATGCTTTCATAGCATGGCTGGTGTACAAGCAAAGGATATTAACAAAGGATAGAATGGCCAGAATGAATTTGCATATCACTGACCCTATTGCTGGCTTTGTAAATCAGAAAATGAGACATGTGATCATCTGTTTTTTCAATGTTGCTACTCCAGGCAGTTGATGGAATTATTGAGAACATGGTTAAAGTGTAGGAGGTTTGCAGATCAGAGCCTGAGATTGAAAAAGCAACTCTTGAGGTTTTGGATGAAGCAGAAAGTAAAAAGGCAAATCATTTGGGCTGCTGTTATAGGATGCATTTACCACTTGTGGATTGAAAGGAACAGGGGGCTATTTGATGGTGTAGAAAGGACTCCTGAACAATTGTTTGGTGGATTGCAAACTGAGCTGAGAAGCAGATTTGGTCACAGATTGAAGACTAGTGGCAAAGAAGCAACAAGGCAGATTTTGAAGCAAGTGTTTGATTTTAAGGTTGAAGGTTGTGAAGTTATTGCTGTAGGTAAGTGTGGGCTGAGGTGCTTAATGTCCTCAGCAGTTTTGTAACAGATAGGATAAACATTGTAATCAGCTTTCATGGTTTTGGTGTTTTTGTATAAAATTAACATTTTCAACAAAAAAAAAAGAAAGAAAATGCAGCATGTGTTGCTGTCACTCCTTTACTTTTGCATTCAACATTAGGACATCCTCTCTATCTGTTTTACAGAAAATCATAAAGTGTAATGATCTTAGTTGTTCAGAACAATCCTTGAAGGATCAGGTATTGATCAGTGTATAATTTGTCTTCCTTTTAAACAACAATGTCAACCTTTTTCTCTCAGTTACATTCAATCAAAAACCTGTTTTGAGCTTTTGCATATTGATCTATGTGCACCTTTTCGTGTACAATCATTCACAGGATGTCAGTTTTTCCTAACCACTGTGGATGATTGCAGTAGATCCACATGGACCATCTTGTTTCATCATAAAACTGAAGTCCCTACTTTGTTGCATCATTTCTTTAATGTGGTTCAAACTCAATACAATGGGGTAGTTAGGAAAGTAAGGACTGATAATGGGACAGAATTTGTTAATTCTTTTTGCTTACAACTCTTTTCCAATCTTGGTATTGAGCATCAAAAAACATGTCCTTACATACCACAACGGAATGGTGTTACAGGTTGCTAGAGCTGCTCTTATCCAATCCAAACTGCCTAAATATTTTTGGGAGAATCCTTACTCACAGCCACTTTCCTGATTAATCGCCTTCCTTCATCACTTCTGAACTGGAAAACACCATATGAACTTCTACATCATAAAGCACCTGATTTCACTAGTTTGCGTACCTTTGGTTGCCAAGCCTTTGTTCTGAATAAAACATCAAGCAAGGATAAGTTTGATGCTAGACCTTATAAAGGGGTGTTTGTTGGTTATCCATCTAATGAAAAGGGTTATAGAGTTTATTGTCCTTCCCTTAGAAAAATCTTGGTTTCCAGGGATGTGGTATTTCATGAGTCTGTACTTCCTTTTTACTAAACAGGATGATAATGATGTAGTGGTTCCATCTTATACAGATGATCAATAACCTTTTGATGATCATCAGGCTGTTTCACAATCTGATCCTAACCCACCTTTTGAATCTTCACCACTACATTCTTAATCTTCTATCTCTCATAGTTCCTCAACATATTCCTGTTCTTCATCTTCTTCATCCTCTCAATCCTCAAGGTCTTCAACAAAACCGGAAATTTTTATTTAATTACCACTGCCAACTAGAACAAGTGGTACAGTCAGAAGACCACCAGCTTACTTAAATGACATTTATACCTCTCATTCTACAACACAAAACATAAGTCTTTTAGCCATGGATGATTCGCATTGTCAATTCTCTACACAATATTTGAACTTTGTTGCTAATGTGTCTGATTCTCATGAACCTACTACATATAATCAAGCCAGAACAAACTTCAAGTGGATAGAAGCCATGAACAAGGAATTACAGGCTCTAGAAGATAATGATACTTGGCAGTTGACCAGTTTACCAGAAGGAAAGAGAGCCACTGCCTCTAAA